AAACGGTCGCGTTTGTTTCATCCCCTCCCCCAACCACCCGTTCGTTTCTCTTTTTTCCACCCTCCTCGAGGATCGTTCCCGTTACCCCGTCGAATTTCTTCTGGATCGACGCGACTCGAAGCAATTCGAGAATGAACGCGATAAGGCTCGCGAACGTTTAGGTCGTTCGATCGTGAAAGGCGACGGGAACGAACGATCGCTTCGAAAGGCGACGATTTTCATCGACACAGCGCGGAATACCAGTTTTATGAAGTATTGGGGAGCGTCGAGGGACTTTATCGTTAAACACGGGGCACAGGATTTTATTCCCCATCGACCGGGGTTGGGCTGTTAGGAGAGATACTGTCATCGAAACGAAGATAAAGAAAAACTGATCCGACGAATCCGATCGGGATTTTCTAGCTGACGTTACGTTTACGAGCTTCCGGGAAAGCGGTTGAAAGCTTGGATAGTTTAATTAGTGTTCGAGAAATTTCGTTTATTTATTTACGGGAAGAAAGTAATTCGATTTTGGGCGTCTCATTGAAAACACCGAAGATGATTTGATATGGTGAAACTCCTGTATGAAAGTACTTTATGTGCTATGGTGTACAGTTTATCTAATTCGAAGTAGATTGAAACTAAATCAATTTTTTAATTATTTTCTCACGCTTCTTCTGATGTAAACAGATTTTCAAGAGAAACTCGTCCTACTGAAAATTATTATTATCCCTTTCTACGAAATTTCGATCGAACGTTTTATCGTTGAATTAACGTGTCCTTAAAGCTTGGAAAATTTTGGAAATTCAGTTTGGGGGAACTTTCTGTAGGGAAGAAATTTAGGTAGCAACAGTTTTTCTATTTTGTCTATTTATGTGCTATGGTGCACAGTTTATTTAATTCTAAATAGATTGAAACATCGAAATTTTGGAAGAATTAATTTTTTAAACCTCTGAGTGCTACCATTTTTATATTCTCATACTTTTTCTGATGTAAACAGATTTTCAAGAGAAACTTATCCTACCAAAAATTATTATTATCCCTTTTTACGAAATTTCGATCGATCGTTTTATCGTTGAATCAACGCGTCCTTAAAGCTTGGAAAATTTTAGAAATTCAGTTTTGAGTGAACTTGCTGTATAGGTGGAAGAATAGATTTAGGTGTCAACAGTTTTTGGACCCATGAAAATCGCATAGTTGGTCCTCGTGGTGTCCTGCATCGATCGTTCTCCCTGGGGCCAAATGAATTTCTGAACGCACCCTCTAAGCCCTCCCTCTTCGTTTACCCTCGACCATTCCGAGTATTTCACCCGAATGTAGCGGGCAGGTATGTATGTGTAACCAATTTTGCAATCACGATGCTTCCAGTCGACCGCCCAATAAATCGCTGAGCGATTTCGAGAGTGGATCGGCGATTCGTTCATTAGTCGGTGCATAATGCAAATTCGTTAATTCTCGCCCACGCCTTTCAGCGCTCTCCCTTACCTTTCCCCACCTCCTCCTCGTCCTTTAATTACAGCTGTTCCTGTACGTTGCTCGTCAAATACGAACGACCAGTATTTATCGTTATTATAGTCACTTTGAGAACGTCGCGATAAAATTAATAATTCGTCGAATAGGAAATAATATATTCCTCTGGAGAAGAATTTTATTTTTAAGGTTTCACCAATTTCTCTGCAATTTCATTTTAGAAATCAAACTAAATATATTTGAATACCTTCAATGTTTAAAATAACAGAAAGGCCATTTTTAAATAGTTACTTTGTGTATAGAAGAGATTTAAAGAATATTAATGAATGAATTTTACAAACTATTGTCAAATTATACTTCTCTCCTGTCCAGAATAAATTTTGTAAACGACACGTTTTACCATGCTGTTTAAAATAATAAAAATATTGAGGTGGCGCGTTTCTATCGGGCCACTCTGTATGTAGCAGATGTCTGTAGGTAATTTCGCTGGCCGTTAATTAATTCGACCCATTTAATTGGCACATGACGTTCTCTTACTGACCCAATTTTCGTTTCCACGAGTTTACCAAACGGACAGTTTCAAATTTATTTGTACATACACCGACACCGCTCGTATCTAATTTGATTTATTCAAACGATAAGATTTATTACGAAACTATCTGTTCAATTTACATCGTTATTAATGTATTCGTATCTTCAATTAATATTTACATAAGAACTTCTTCATGTTTATCTATAGCTTAATTTGATAATATAATTTTCGCTATAATTTTCTTCCACTTTTTACTCGTTAAGTTCACTGAAGTTCTACTGTACACACTGTTAATTTTTAATAAATTATAGTTTGTTCTCACAGTATTTTACGATGACTCTAAAACCTTGACACGTCAAAAATAATATAAGTTTACTGTTAAAACAAATATTGTCTCTTCTTGAAGCGGGCTGTGCGATAACAGCACAAATTCAGTCCAGCGAGCATTGGGCTTCGATATGCAAATGATAAACCACCATTTTAGGGCAGGATGTCAACAGCAGACATAACTAATTCCTGGATTATAATTATATCGTACGAATTTGTGTCAGTGACAGAATAATCGTGAATTTGACAAAATCTTTCACAGAAGTAGCAATTTTTCGTCAAACATAATATCTGTTGTTAAATAGCTCTTTAATATACAATGGAGAAGGTCGTTCGATTTTCCATGAACTAATTGATAGATTCATTACCATATCAATTATACCGTTTAATTATGGAGACCGTGTAGAAGCCACGATTGAAACATAAACGTAAATTACAGCCTCCTCTAATCGTCGTTGTAGTCCAGAGTTCCACGTTTCTACCTAAAATGGGTGTGTGCTTGCAACTGTATTCTAGAGCTTGGCTGTCACGAATCAATTAACTCAGATTAACTATTAAATATCCCCTTAAAAAAATCTTCTACAAACTCTACATTTATTTTGGGACAATTTTATAATTCAGATCGTAGTTGAAAATGAATAAATAACGAGTTATCCATTTTCTATTAGCTATTCGACATTTTTACCTAGATGAGAAATTTTCATCTCTAATCCTCAGAGGAGAACGAGTGAGATGCAGCTAGGTGGGTGGGGGATAACTCCACAACAATTAACGAAGCAGAAACCGCGACAATTAGCGAGACAACGCTGCATTGTAAACAGAAGATTGGATCCAGCCATTCGAACTAATAATAACAAATCTGTCTCTTGTTTCTCACCTTGCAATTTTAGAGTTTTTGTAAAATGCAACAAATTCAAAATTAACGCAAGAATCCAGTTGACTTTGACCTTGACAGCTTCTTTGATTAATTTTCTTCTAATCGAAGACGATTTAACTCGCGGAGTATTATAATGTTGGACGTGTAATAGAGAAATGTTCGTGTAACGAAAATGTACCGTACAATAACAGTAGTAGAAGGGTGCAGAGACGGGGATACAAACAGAAGGAATAACGATGGGACGACTGTCATAACGAGGAGAATTGTGAAATGTTATTTTAGACATGCAGTGCTTCTCAAATTTCTCAACGTTAAAAATCAGTCGAAACTTTTTATGAAATGTTTCCATTAATATTCGGTATATAAAAATATTTCTATAAGTTCGCGAATCCTTAAAAAATTTTGATCGATGAATCTAGTATTCGGAAAATATTGTTCCATAAGTGTATCAATTTTGATGTATCCAACAATGTTCAAGATTGAACGCGCTGGTTTCCTAATCAAATTAAGCTGCAGGCGCAATTTGCTTATTGTGTCGACTTCGTACCGAGAAACGCGTGTCGTTCGCTGTTACAATTAGAACATTCAAATATTGAGGGACACTGTGATAGGAAATAACTTCTGCAACTCGCGGGGAACGTTCTACGGTGCATAGTGTTGTTCCAGCATACATAACCTGTTCTTATTCGTGGCTGCAGTTTGCACAAGGCTTAACCGTACATCGAAACGGAGCATTGGATCTTGTCAAAATGAAGCGTGCAGGCAGCCGTATCGATCAAATAACGAACGTTTCTGGATTTTTAAAAACCAATATCTCGATTCTACATCGACAGTAATTTATTCACAAATTTTTCAATCGACGAAACACAGGTTTCGAGTTTGAAAAAAAATTTTATATAAAAACCAAGAAAATAGCAAGCGTAAAATTCGACGTTCTATGCATGTTTCAAAGAAATTCGGTAAAATGATTTTACTCGAAATTTTTGCGCGGACTGTATCGTATTTCAATTTCACCGAAATTCCTGACATCGAGCGCAAAAAGTAATCGATTTCGCGTGAAATAAACCATGGCTAAAAATAAAATGAGACCCGTATATGCCTCGCTAAAAAAAACTATTAACTTTTTATTTGCAAGTTTTGAGGCGCGCAAATAAATATTTATTCGTTATGTAAACGATAACTGTTATTTCAAAGCTTATTTGGAGTATCCACTATCTCAAATAAAATTGATACTTCGGTTATTTCCGAATAAAGTTACGGGAAATAAACGTTTTTTAAATCAGTTATTTCTTCCTTTTTTTTCAAACGGAAAGCCAGTCTTCCCGCGCATAAAATAGGATGTCGATGACATAATACAAATATTTGCATACCGGATTGTACGCTACAGAAATGGAAATTTACGTCGAAATAAAAGTATCCCGGGTGAAGTCTGTTTATACGGGAAACGATCGGGGTGATCAGATTTTATGGTTCACCCCCGTGTACATCGAGACAATGTTTCGCGTGCTTTCCATGGGAATTTTCCGTCAAAGAACTTGAATCTCGAGGTCCGCCATGAATTATGAATACGCGAGGCTCCATCGACGCCGTCTATTTTCGTTCGATTTGAATTTTTACAGGCAATTTATTCTGCCGCGGAAGAACGAACCGAACGTATCGATGAATTATGATGGCGTCAGGGATGCCCAAGGTCGCTCGAATTTTCACGGAAACCGGCATCAACATTCTTAAATTAAATCTTGCAAACGTTGCTTGCTTTTTAAAATTGAGAGTTGTTCCTGTGTCCACGAAATTTAATGAAAATCGAAGACTCACCTTTTCTTTGTCCCCGATGTGGATCAGACTTTTCGCTTTGCCTTCGTCGAGGTAGATCTGCAGTCGATCTGGACTATTTTCTAGACTCGTTGATAAGAGAAGTCCACGTGGCCTCGTCGTCTTGAAACGCACTATCACCTCCTCAGTTTGCGTTTTCGAGTCCTCTGGCATGAGCGCTGTCATCTGTTGCGTTCCATTCAGGTGCAACGTTGACGCGTCTGAGAAGAAAAAAACACCAAATTTTAAATCATACAAGTCTTATGTAAATCATTTCAATTGCAATTACAAATTCGTAACCACGTAAATTGATATTACAAAAAAATTTTGATTCTTTCGATACGATTGACCATACTATTAGTAATCCATATTAAATTATTGCACGTTTCTATTACAATATTAACATTATCACCGGTAATTGGGTTATTTTAATACCATAATAATACATATGTTGCTCTGCGTTCGAAGTTAATTATTCGTTAAATATTGAAACGCGTTGGTAAATAAATTTAACGTCAAACCCTAAAACGGAATGCCGCGATACGATGCGGGAAATTCTGTGAAATGTACAGGTCTTCTATAATATTCCGTAAAATATATATTATTAGGAAAATTCCGTCTCACCTTTACCGCAGGTAGGGCCAGTGAAGGGTGTTCCGGTACAATCGCAGTGAAACCTATTCCACCCCTCGAGACAATGGCCGCCGTGCATGCAAGGCCGTGAAGGACAGTGGGATGGTTGGGAATGACAAGCTGGCCTCACAGCGCCTGCAAAATTGTCCAGGGGAACAAAATTACGTAGACAGTGACAAGTGTTTGCAGTTCTAGGACCGAATTCTTGTTTTCTTTACGAAACATTCCTGACCCTAAAGACCAGAAGAGGGATTAAAGGCTACCGGAATAATTAAATTATCGTTAATTCTCGTTTATTCGACGATCTTCATAATGAGACGACAAATCATATTTAAACAGGTGTAATTAATGTAAATGATTTGGGTCGGAATAATTTTTCTGCTGTTTCATTCTAAAATAATTGTTTAAAAATATTTTTCTACCATTAATTTAATTAGAAGATAAAATAATTAATTATATTTAAATGACCTGAGTTTCAATATGTTAAAAATAATATTTTCAGCGAAGATTAAAAAGTCGTTGAAAACTAAAGAGATTTGTTTTTTCTTGTAATTATTTATGGAACGAGATGATTAACGATACATTTTATTGATTTAAAAAATAATAATGTTATGAAAAAGTAGCGTAGGTTGGTTGAAGTACTTGTTAGAGTAACGTTCTCCCACAAGCTGTGGTGTCCGAGTGGTTAAGGAGTCAGACTCGAAATCTGATGGGCTATGCCCGCACAGGTTCGAATCCTGTCCGCAGCGAAATACTTTTTTTTCGTCGAAAACGATTTTTTTCGCATTAATATTTAATCCTCGTGTTATTTAAATATATTCTATATTAAAAAATAATTTTTCGTTCAAAAATTAATGAATAAACATTAACATTATCGTGGTTGCTATATACGTGTATGTATGATAAGGTAAAGTTTCACGTCACCTGCACATTTTTCCTAATCCATAATTTTCATTTTATTTTTCATTCGTGCAACACATTGAAAATGCATTTGTTTATACAAATCGAACAAAAGAGTCGCGTGCACAGGTAACGAAGTATTCTTCGCGTGCCAATTAATGGTCGGTGAATGATAGTATGAAAATTGACATAATAAATTAACTAAGCTATTGTACCGTGACTAGTAAACATGGCATGTATCTCGAATGACGTAGATTGGAAGAATATAGTAAATATGCTGCTCGTATCATATAGAACTATGTACGATGGATCAATATTTCGTAGATAGATCGTATAACATAGTGCATCGCATGATTATCAACGTGCCACTGTCGTACGTATAAGAAAATTACATAGCTCGCGAGTATGAAGAAAAATGTATCTTGTAAATATAATTTTACACGGCATAATTAAATTTGATGTTGACGGGAGGAACGTTCGAGATTAAATTTTTTAATTAAACTACTTCCTAATTAAAAAATTTTCACATCGATTCTCACGAATAGCACTCGTACGCGAGATTATAATTTTTACAGCCTGAACTAAAAATGAAAGAATACGAATACGAAATTTTGTCGACACAAAAGTAATATATGTTGTAAATAAATTAAAATTTCGATGATATAAATTTACAAAGATCAAGAAGAATCACGTTGTTTTAACGCAAGATAATACATAATCTACAAAATTTGAAACTGGATAATCACAGTATGGTTACGGTAATGAAATTAATTTTTAAAGTTTAATAGAATAGAATCAGTTTTTGAAGGGTAATGTAAATTTTAATGATGTGGAATGTTGAATATTCGCTTACCAGAGTCCTGTTGCTGTGCATATCCAGCTATGTCAATCGGTTGACTGTTTATGACAAGATCTCTCAAACAGCCGACGTAACCTTGCCTCAAGGCACCTGTCCACAATACTGGAGGCACTGTTAGGGGTGCAAATGGTGCTCCTACGCCGCCAATATATAATAATCCATCCAAATCTAATTGCGAGGAATCACCTGGAAAATAAAATTCATTTCTCCGTTAATCGCAACGTCAACAAAAATATATTTTACTACAGAAATCTGAATTTTCGAGAAAAACGTAACTTTAATCATTTTTGGGCAACTTGAGGGGGCTCGTGGTGAAACAAAGGACAACCCATGACGTACCCCCAATTGTAATATTTATTAGAGGTTACTGTATCATAGCTATTATGACTTCACTGTTAAAAAACTATTCTCCACGCGTTGAAATTAAACGAGACGTTGCACATTCTCAGAATCAACTCACGTTTCGTATCTAGAGTACGAATCGCATAAAGGGACGCACCTTTGCTTCTCGTTCACGGGGGAACCTTTTTCAAGCGCCATTTAAAGAATTAAACGAACATGATGTTGCATTTCGAGGCTGGAAGTGTTAATAAATTGCTGCCTGTGGCGTCGAATCGACACAAGCGTATCAAGAACTAACTTTCGAGCCACTTTTATGGAAAACCACTCTCGACAATAAAAATTTCAACGCTGCGTCCAAATACCAGGAACGTATTTACGAATTTACATTCGAGATGCAAAATACTTGATTTTATATTTCGATAAATATTTTTATCTTGCGACCAGGGTTGAAACGTATTCAGATTCGAATCTTTTAATTTATATTTATATTCTTCTCAGACCACCCATCCCGTCCGCGCGCGCTCCATTTTATTTCGTTGCATATTTGGACGCCGGAAGTGCGCCCGGTCCGTGAAATAAGTGCTCAAACTATCGCTAATTATTCGGCCTGACGCTCAGAGACCGTTGATGAGGCCCGTAATTCAACGTTAATTAAAAAGTCGCGGGAGTCGCTTAAAGTCTATTATCCTGTGCAATTTTTTTCGTTCTTTTTTTTCGGTACAAAACTAAATTTCCCTCTCGTGAAACGAGGATGCGTGGAGTGGCGGAAGAGGACGAGGGGGAAGTTCAGTGGCGGCGCTCGAATTGCCCTCGTGCGTTCCGGGATGACGTGCCTGATGAAAATAATAGTCCCTCTTGGGGAGACCCTTTCCCGCTGGCGTGCCTAATTGTCCAGTAATCTTTTTGCGAGTACCTGCGTTATTTCAAAGGTAAGAGATATTACGATGGTTACGGTGGCGCGCGTGGCGAGCCACGGGAAACGTTGAAACACGATTGTTCGGCGTTGTTTCGACGATCCTCGAGAAAAAGGCCATCGAAAACTTCTTCTTAAAACACGATTTACAGACTCCAACAAGTAGAAATTAACCTCAGAAAATTCGACTGTTCTCCAATTTCAAACTAGGGCAGCTTTCGTGGAAATAAATTTGTTAAGTACAAAACGAATTGGATTGTTAGGTGTTTATATAGTTTCTTCGACTCCGTTTCCATCGAGCAGCGAATTCAATAGTTTACAAACAGGTCATTTTCGAGTTACGCGGAACCGTATTCTTCTCGAAGAATAAGATTTGCACGAGGGAATTCTATTTTACAAGATGGACAGAGGGATGAATGGAAGATACCACGAATGAACAGGAATACTGAGGGACGTGGAACTCGGGAAGAAAAGAGATTATAGACGATGAAGGAGACCCAGGGCTCCCACTCTGAAAATTGTTACCGCCGACAAGCGTATAAAAGCTCGGCGAAATGCTTGATTTCCTGGGAGCGTCGGGGTCGGTAACCATAATTTTCCAGATAAAATTTACGCCTGGAAACTTTATTCAACGCGGTATCGTGGCTAGTAATCGTTGCATTAGCGTCGATCTTCGTTAATTAGATGTCTGACCCCGGGGGTACGAAATACGTTACGCTTCCCACAAAATTCTGGTCTTTACATTGCACGAACGCGCAATCCAAGGATGAACTTTCAGAAAATCTCTAACTAACGATTTTTTGCGAATTTTAAAGTCCTCTCGTTGTTTCAGCAAATAGGATTCTCATTAATATCCGTCCATATTTATGCAAATTCATAAATAACCAACAACCCTCGACAATACCAATTTACAATTTGGATTAAACTCTCACATATTTTTTTAAACATTAATAAATACATTTTGATTATTTTGTTTTTACCTCCTATCAATGTTTACGCACAATCAAATTATATTCTATGTTTATGATAAACATATCTGTACACACTCGGTAAAAAATTCTTTTGTAAAATTGTTATTTCTGTAAAATTCGATCGTTTCGTTGTTATGTAATCGTGCAAAATTCAGTGTAGCGACGTGATCAGCAATTATTAAAGCAATTATTCCGGAAAATGGGCCTTTACTTCGAAATTTGCTGATCCAGCCAGGAGCATTTCCGACGAAGCGCGAACGCAGTGCTCCCGGTGCATCGCGGTGCATCGTTTCCCTGCACCTGACGCTTATTTACATGGATTTGCAGTATTATAATGCGCACGAGTCCGCGACAGTTTGACAGTTGAACATTTCCGTCTAGATTCGACACATTAATAACACGCATATTCCTTTAACAGTTCGACGACGTTGCGTCTGTAAAATAATTACGAATGCAACGTACTCGACGTTGTATAAAACAATCGTTATATATATATATATATTCTCCAATTAAAAATACATTAAATTTCAGCAATTCTGTCCAGCGATATATTTTTAAAACATCGCGAAAGTATTTCAGTTATTAATAGCTCAAATGCTTTCCCCAACGACCGAAAATTTGTCCTCGATTGGGCAAACTATGAAACACGAAATTCCAGTTATTTTATAACCACGTGACATATTCGGATGATTAAATCTTGCATGAAAGGAAATTTGTACAATAACGTGGAAGGGAGGCTCTCTTGTGTAGCAGAAATAACTCTGATAATAACATTAATTCCAATAATTATTTCATTTGCGAATGTCATCGCGTCGAAAATTAATTTTAAAAACGAGAAATAACTCCTTTTACGCGTGGACTTAATCAAAGAACAAAAATCCGATCGTTATATTCTATTTAATTTCTTTGTGGTGGTTATTCGGAAATTATTTTAAAAACATTCGCTAAATTTATAAAGTAATTACCTGTTCGGTAATTTAATATTCCGTTCATGAATAGAATAATTACTTAAATTTCCTAATTAATTTATCAATTCCTGAATTATTATGCATAATGTACTATTTCCAGTATGAATACATTTATCGCACAAATAGTCATAAACGATTTCCTCGTAATTCATGTAAATGATTTCTGCTATCAAGTTATTTTATGTGGATTATTTTCAAAATTTTTACTTGATCATCAAAAACAACTTACAGTCTTTTTACGCAAACAGGAATTATTTGAGCACGTATACGATGATGACTCTTAAAACGAACACGTGATTCGTAAGTTGAACATTTTTATCTTTCCTTGGAACCAGCGAAGCGTGCAAACTGGTGTCGAATTTCGCTATCGGTGTACGTAAAATGAACAGGCCAACCGCGGAGCGTTCATCTTAAGAATCATTACACTTTTTGGCCGCGTGTATACACGTTCTTTGGGGCGAAAGGGTTAACGTTATTCTACCTAAAACAGAAGTACGGTACTTTGGGATTAATATCACGAAACGTCCCGTAGCAAAGCGAAGGAACCGGCAACGCGCCGACCGACGAACGTAAACCAAATGGGTTCGTATAATTGCTTCAGATTTATCCTAAAATCCGCTGATCTAGCTTGAAACAGACCGCCGTTGCGGTGTGCTTTGGCGCGTAATTCGCTTCGCGGCGAAATATCGTGAACCGTGTACAAATTTACGCGGGGATCGCGCGCGCGGCGGTTTCGATCGATCGTCGGTATAATGCCGCTGTAATAATGTTTGCTCGCAGTCCCGTTGACTGACCGTATCTTTTTCGGGACTGAAAAAATTAGCCGGGCCAATTAATCATCGGATCGCCGCGGGCCACGGAAATTGCACGAACGTCGACAACGAGATCGTCAAACATTTCGCGACTTTCCAGCAGTGGTTCACGAAACAACAAAAAAATTAATTTCTATCTCGATGGAAGTCGATTACCATCGAATCTCGAAGAAATAAGTTACCAAGAATGTTTGCTTTAAATTATTTTATTAGAGATTAATTTAATTCTGGTTTGAATCAACGATCACGCGGTCGCCAGAATCTTATTTTCGGCCATAATTGGGTAGAGAAAGGAGAAAGAAACGGCTAATTTGTTGGCAAATGGAATGAAATTTTCGTGGAACCGAGCCACCGCGGCGGCCATATCCTTTCGTACGTTTCACATTTTAATTTTCAGTCTGCGTGCATTTTCATAGCGAGCTCGGAAAGGCAGCGAAATTACGTTCCCAGGGAACCTCAACCTGGTTTTACAAATTCGAGACAAAGTTTTTAGTTCTCAAAAAATGTGCCTTTATACGCAGCACTTTCTGGCACAAACGATTATAACATATAGTTATTTATAATTACGATCGATATTCAGCAATAGGAGTTTAAATTAAAATTTGAGGGGGGCCAGTTTTAATTTAATTGTTTACGGTATAATTTTAACGTTTTCGAAATAGAACGAACGAGAACTGATTGCAGAGTCTTGGATCAGGCTAGGATCAAACTTTTTTTGCGTGTTACTGGCGCAGTTGGCTCGCAGGAAACGTTCACACTCCAAGAATTTGCGCAAACTCGTCCCACTGAGGTGGCGAAGCACAGTTTTCAGGCTAAAATTGTTCAAGGGTCAGATTTCAAAGGCGAGTTTCGCAGCCAAATTAACTGGCCGTGTAATGCGGGCGACCACGAAGGGATACGTGAAAGTTTTGACAGAAGGGTGTGTAAGCACACAATTTGAACGTAGTTGTAAACTTTTTCTGGGCAATGACGACAGAGACGCATTTATAACAACAAAAATTATTAATACTTTTTTGCAAGTATCCATGAGCTCTATTTCCAGACTAAATTTCATTGAAATATATTCACTATTGTAGGAGTTATGGTCGTTTGAAATTTCGACCACTTTTATGGGGTTTTTGTAATTTTACAGGGTTAAGCAACAACTTACAGAATATTGTTAGAATCTCTACATATTCTTCACTAAAATACGCGTTGTTTGCATTTTGAAACATTAAAATCCTCCAATCCGTTCAGGAGTTATGATGTTTTGAAGATACGCATGAAATATTAATAGAACATTCCTTCCTTGTCAGACATTATATTCTCGGTTAAGAATTTTTTTCTCGAAAATGCGTGGGAATTCAGGGGTATATGTATTAACCAAAAATGATTGTAATGGACCCCTGCAACCAAAAATAATTTTTTCAGAACGATTTGAAATTTTTTTTTTCACCGAAAATTTAAGCATTTACAGGAATTTTTTTCTCGAAAGTGCTTAGGATTTCGTGGGTATGTGTAATGATAAAAAATGATTGTAATTGACCCCTGCAACCGAAAGTAATTTTGTTAGAACGATTTGAAATTTTTTTTGATCGTCGAAAAATTTAGACACCTACCCCCTGTCGATTTTTCTTAAAAATTCGTTTTTCATTTATAATAAATTTGTTTGATGCTGTACGGAAATGTTGTCTAGTACTTTTTTGTAGGTATCCATGAGCTTTATTTCCAGACCAAATTTTATTGAAATCCATTTACTATTATAGGAGTTATGGTTCTTTGAAAATTAAACCACTTTTATGGGGCTTTTGTCACTTTCACAGGGTCAAGGAACAACTTTTTTAATATTGTTAGAATTTCTACATATTCTTCATTAAAATACGCATTATTTGCATTTTGAAACATTAAAATCCTTCAATCCGTTCAGAAGTTATGACGTTTTAAAGATACGCATGAAATTTCAGTGAAACATATCAATGGTATGGTCAGACATTATATTTTCGGTAATGAATTTTTTTCTCGAAAATGTGTAGGAATTCGGGGATATGTCTATTCACCAAAAGTGATTGTAATTGTCCCCCGCAACCGAAAATAATTTTTCCAGAATGATTCGAAATTTTCAGCACCTATCCCCAGTCGATTTTTCTTAAAAATTTATTTATAACAAATTGCTTCAAAGGCAAAGAAAAATCATGGAATTAAAAATATTTATAATATTAAAGATTAGAGTATTTATCATATCACCGATGTAACAACAGCATAATAAAGTCTGCGCACAAAATGACACGACCATAAATCACGAGATACGTCCCCTGCACAGTGGCGTATGAAAGTTTCCGGCTAGTTGCTCTCCCAACTTTCCTTTTGAGAGGGAAAACAATGACGAATGTTGAATAACACGGAATTAAAGTATAACGAGCTACAAGATACAAGTACCATGTAACCGGAACATTTATCTCGTTTTCAAGGCAAAACTTCTCCGCAAAAATCCTAGAAAAATAATTATCTGCACAATTTTGCACGCCGTTGTATATAAGTTTGAATAAAAATAATAATCCACCAGTCTCTAGCGTTTCTCTTTTATATTTGAAACTTAAAAATGCCCGCTTCGTAAACTCGAGGAATTTTCGAAACTCGATAAAATCTTTTTGCCGCGAGCAAATGCACCCTAAACCGTGGCGGCACGGTTACGTCGATGTCCATTGGTTTTCTGATAAAATAAGGTGTTAAACATGTAACATTCGCGATACGAGTATTTCCTGGACTATCGTAAATCGAAGTATCGTAAATGGCCGGCGGATAAAAGGCGACGCCGGAAATCGTTTGACGTTAGAATTTAATGCCGCGAGATTTGCACGCTGGCCACGTACCGGAAGTAGGACGGAATCCGAAAAGAGGACACGGGAAGAGAAAATGCGATTTCTTCCGCGCACTCGACCGCCATTATTTGATCTGGACGACGAGGAAGTGTATAAAACGATTTCTGTTTATTTATCCCTTTTAATAGAGCCATAATCTATTATCTCAAGTGACTGGGTTATTTTAATACTGTAAGTTGATCACGTTCGAAGTTAATTTAAGATAGAATACGATTTCTTTAATGTACTCGAGCGCCATTATTTAATCTGGACGACGAGGAAGTATATAAAACGGTTTCTGTTTATTTATCCGTTTTAATAAAGGCATAATCTATACCCGACGCCGCCCTTTCCGTTCTCCGCCGAGCATCGATTTCAAAAACTCGCGAATAAGTTCGAGATTGCCTGCGTAGAGTTCTGATTGACTTCGTAGATCCTCGTGGAGATCGCGAATATCTTTCAAATGGCGAGAGTCGAGTGTGCATTATCGTTCCGGAAAGTTCTCGACACGCGTGTCGACGAGAAGTTCTGGAAGTTCGATATCGAACGGTGAAGTTGCCCGGAAAGGTAATACAGAAGGCAACGAGGAAATAAATTTCGCGTTTAAATTTAATTTTCGGGGGGTGTCGAGGCATTATCGTAGGTCGTTCGGGGGAAAAACGACCACGGGGGCACAAAGAACTCTTTGCGACTAATTCGTGCTTTGATACCATTCGGACCGTTTATGAAACGTTTCTTTTTATCGCCGGCAACTGAAAAAGAGATTTAAGCGGCTCCTTTTCAGCGAAACTCTATGCGCATTCGAAGAGTTAATTCACGAATTGCTTTATACGCAGTTTTTCACCGGTTGTTAATATTCTCGAACGTTGAATGTTAAATGTATCGTCCCCGGCTGTAAATAACGCGGGGGAGAATTGTTATGGTTGTTTCGACAAAAAGCCAATGGCGAGCACGGTATTAAACGCGCTTTTATCGCGTCGAGCGTGAAAGGGACGGGGTAACGAAGAGTCCAAGTGGTAATAAAACTACAGGAATGTATTAAAAATAGAGGAGAGGAAGATTTATTACGTCCCACGCACGAAACGGTTAGCTGCACCTGCAGATAAGTGTCCTCGAGTGTGTAACTGTGAATTATGAGTGGCTTGCTCTCCTCGACCCGGTGCAATTTTTCCTCCTTCATCGTTTACGACGCCCAGCAAAACGGGATTCAGAACTATGCTCGCGCGATTTAATGGCCGGACACGACACGCGATTACAAGAAAATCGATGTAAAATCGAAAGAAGTTGCACCCTATATAAAGTTTTATATAGGTTTTATAAGGATTTATATATATAGTATATTCTTTGGTGAACACTTTAGTGCACCCAAATATGGAGACTGCTTAAGCAATTATGAAAAAGAACTTTAAATTTCTTGGTGATACAAGGAAAGTAATATACTGATTTGAAAATATATACCTATCTACAAGTGACTGCTTGTTTCAATTTAATTAACACTTGTTATTACGTACCTGGTGTACGAAATTCGACAGTCCAGCCATCGACAGTGACGCGTCCCTCTCTTTCGACGCGTCGAAGGGCCACGTCGTGCCACGTGCCATCGTCGACCCTCTTCTTCGAGGACTTCACCTTCTCGTGGCCGCTCCCGAGGTCGGCGTGAAGATACAGATGGCCGCGAAAAATTTCGAACGCGAACAGATCTTGCTGCAAGAAGAAAAAATAGCCAACGTCAGCGTCTGCATTATTGCAACGCGTTGCTCGTCTGTGGGCAGAACTTGGAGATTGGAGTATTATTCTTACGAATATAAGAATCTTGTAAAGAATCGTAGGATTTGGAACAAACAACTTTCGACTTTTGATACAAATATATTCCAACTACTTTCTTCACAAAAATCCTAAATATTCTAAGGAATTTTTTTCTCGAAAATGCGTAGGAATTCGGGGATATGTCTATTAACCAAAAATGATTGTAATTGACCCTGGCAACTAAAGATAATTTTTGAAAATATTTAATGAATTTTCACTGAACGTAAATTGACGGGTAGAGCGAATCGAAATAATTTCTGCAATATCTCGCGAATAATAGTTACGCGGCGCGGTGTGTATTTATAAAACGGGCAACAGATACGAACACGAGCCTGGGAAGTATTTCTTGGGCGGAATACGGTGATTCCGCTAATGAGCAATCCGCACGAACTCTCGGTATCCGCGTTGCAACAAGTCCAGGGCTTTCACGAGGGGAGCCCGGTTTTCGCAACTTTCCGATTTATTTCGCGCCGTTTCGTGCCACGCGGTCGTGATTATTCGCGATTTTAACGCTCCCTTGCTTTATACGTTGAAATATAATTGTGGGAATTACGCGGCGGTATTGTTAAATCGAGATAACTGCACGCTGGAAACGAAAAGCGACTCGAGTGGTGAAAATGCATTCTCTCGTCTCCCGTGTTCCAGAAACTGTTCAGATCGATCCCCGAAAGCATCAACTTTAGTATGTTCCTACCGTCCAGCGTAACGAATAACTAAGGTTTTAATGGAAGCATTTTGTTACCATTAAAACTTCGTGTGTATCTATAATCCAGTTATATTAAATTGTATGATATAAATCTATACAATTTATAATCCAGTTTTATCCCACACTAGTCATATAATCGATAGAAATAGATAAAACATTTTTGGGTGCATGGAGTAAAAGTAAATATGAAAATAAACATAGAAGTCAGCATAAATTATAATAGTTGATACAGTCATCGGATAGAGGATGAAATGACCTTTAAAATGAGCGTTTGTACAAGTCCATAGCTTTATTAGTTCCGGAGATATGAGGATTTTAGTTTCAAGTCGATGCGGTGGCTAGTTCCGGAGATACGAGGCTTCGAAGTTTTGTTTACGTTTCATTCGGATCAATGAACTCGCGCGCGCGACAATAGTAAACAGTGCGTAGTAAATTCTTGGAAATACTACGACTTCCGCGTCACGCGACTGTCTCGACTCACGTGCGACAAAGAGGTACAACGCGACGCGCCAGACGAAGACAGTGATAGTCCAAATTAAAAAAATACACTTTTCTTTACACGACGATATCTCGAAAACGGGTAGTCGGATCGTCAAAAACCAAAAGCCATTTTACAGGGGAAGCTTCACCGCTTCTAACAGTCGCTTAATTTTGGATAAAGCACTAGTAGTTTCGGAACTGTACGCGTCTAAAGTTTTAGTATTTTTAATACACATTAATGGGCTTTTCTGTTCTATGATACTGGAAATTGAAGATTCTATTATTTTCTATTAACATCGACTAATTCAAATCAGAGCCTCTTGATAAATTTCATTTATCACAGGTGAAACAAACCTGAAACTGGATTTTTATATAAAGTGTCATTTGCCTGCATAACACTTTGCTTATTTAAAACTTCAATAAATTACATAAATAAAATTTCATCTGGTCTCGACAAAACTAGTAAGAATTTCTTTATAATTCTAGAAAGGTTATTGCAAATAATAAAAAATAATTATAAATTTATTTCTCTTTAGTACATAACACAGTAAAATATTGTGTATGCTTTGTCATACCAGTAAAATACTCATTTAAAGCACAAAAATCCAATAATATAGTAAATGTAGATTACGAAACAATAGACAATTAAAACACACACACACACCACGTGAATGATAATGGAACAAACACAATGACTCAAATAATCATGTTACATTTCGACTCCAAAACTAAAAAACTACAAGAGGCGAAACCAAAGCAAGAGGACTGTTTAAAAAAATTGCTCGCCACAGTGTTAAACTATAACTTTCCACTAAAAACGCTTCTCTCCGTTCGCTGGCATCCACCGCGTTGCTCGACATTTTGTTTCGAGTATCGCGACGCTCTTTTCCAACACGCTATTTCTCCGGTCTTCGATTGATCGGTTTTTCTCCTTTTTCCCGAAGTTCCACGGGCACTCCGCGTTCCCCCTGTTTCTCCGTCAAACGGTTTTCCACTTTTCCTTATACCCCCATCCGCCGTGCAATCTCCTTCTGATTATTCGACTCGATCGATCCCACCGTGGGAGGTGGCTTTTAATGGAAATAACGCGAAAACGTTTCTCGGCGACTAATCGAAACGATCGCGTCGACGCGGAACACTTCGAAAAACGAACAACCAACGAATCACGAAATTTTCAAGAGAGCAATTAATGAAGTTCATTATCCTTCTATTGCTTAATATTCGTCGAACAATTTTTTGTATCCTCGATATTCTTCATTTCATTCGTGTTCATTGTGCTCAAAAATTAAAAAGAAAATCATTTGATAACTGATATAGATCACGAAAACATTTCACAATCTATATAATAAAAGTTCTATAGAATTTATATTTTAATGAAAAAGAAATAAAGGAAAAACATTACACAGATGCTAAGTTATGATTTTCTTCAGAAACACCCATATACTCGAAATGATCGCCACGATACTTTAGGCACTTCCTCTAAATCAAAGAATTTTTCCAACAAAAGTTACACAGCAATCACTTGACAAGAAATTAGCAAAACAATTTTTATTTAAGAAAAAATCAAGGTCACTTCGATTTCTTTAACAAGTTTTTGTGCATCAATTGACGCATCTTTGTATTCTCTTTAAAAAAGTGTAAGAGATCTTAGGTCGAAAATTGACTAGTTTAGAAGCTATTTCCATTTACGCGGCACACTGTGCGTTGGTGACAATTTCTTACCAAGTTTAAAGTACGATTGTATGGAAAATACGTACCCTGGAGTGGGCTCCGCTGCGACTGTACATGATCAGTCCGTTGGGCTCGTTGGTACGAATTTTGAAGGATATGGTCCCGGACTTGGCCGCCTTCCAGGGTGGCAGGACCTGAAACAAACGAGACAGTCCACTCTTAATACGTCGCTCCATGGCCGCTGCCGTTACTTCTGAACAGAAAGAAAAAGAGAAACGGAAGGAAGAACGAAATCCCTCGACGTCCACCCGGAGAAGAATGGCGGCGGCGGACAGCGTCGGGGCGACCCGTCGTGTTCGGAATCCAAAATTTCCCTGCTGCCCGTCGGTGAGCAGTCCATTCATCATGCACGATGGCTTAAATAATCACGTGTCCCGTGTTCGTGGAATTTTTACTTCAATTTCGAGGCGGAACCGGGCGCTCCTGCAACGGACGCGGCTGAGTGATTTACGTACGCCGTTTCGGGATCGAGAAATTCCGGGGTGCTCGATGTTAATCCTATCGCGGCGAATTCCCGTTTCCCGCTCGAAGGGAGAAGAAAGCAAAGAGAGAAAAAAAATAAAAAAAGAAACGGAAGAAGTAGAAGCCCGCGACTCCGCGAAGGAAAGTAGGCGGTGGATGGCGAGACGAGAACGTTGACAAAATGTATTTGCGTGTGTCGAGTCCCCGCCGTTGGGGATTTCGGAAGTTTTTGCCATTGCCTCTCTTTCGTACTCTCTCTCTCTCTCTCTCTCTTTTTCTCGTGTCACACCGAAAATGGAGATGCTTCGTCGGGGGAGAGGGCCTCGAGTGCTGCTCGAATTCGCGAGACCGGTGGAAATGTTTAACGGAGGATGTCTGGGCAAGATACACGCAAACTCGTGTGAAATGTGGGTGAGGATCGGGTGGACTCGTTGAGAGAATCGTGAGAACTTTCGATGCGTGTGATAACTGTGACCAACCCCAAAATTTTCAATTTTATATATACAGCAAGTATACCTAGCAATTCAGTTGATTTTCATTAATGAATCTTGAAATGTGAGGTAAATGGCGTTTGGAAATTTAGAATTTATACATAATGTAATGGGCAAATGGATTTATGTGAATATAGACACATGGAAACTCGTGTGAAATATGAGTGAGGATCGGGTGGATTATAGAATCAAAAATCTAATACGAAGTAAGAAAAATCGACTAATTGAAGTTCTTGAGAATAACGAAGGTCCTGCACGTTGCTAAATTATTGTTATAACTTAATTCAACTGTATTCTTAGCACATGAAACAAGAATAAATCAGCTTTCTGTAATTCTTCCCTTTTTTATACAATCTATCCTTCTTTAGCAAAATATCGTTTCCTAACACAATTTACACTTTGTTTTTCGTTATTTTAACAGCGACACATAAATGTTTAAGTCATTATTTAGCAAACGATACAACCAGAATTCATAAATAAAGAAACACATCTCTAGAATAAAAAGTACTATAGTTTATCCTCTCAAGTGGGCATCGAACGTTATTCTCGATAGCAAAACTCTCCAATGTGCATTACTTTCGATAGCAAACTCCCCAGCGAACATCGAACATCGAACATCGAACATCGAACATCGAACATTAAGAATGGCGACCTACTAAAACCGCGTCCCTACGGTCAACTAAGTCGCGTTTCCAGGCTGGCGCTTTTAAATAAAAAGGATTTTGCACCCTCCGTTTAACATCTCGACGAAATTATCGGACATCTGTTCCATCGACGAGAGCGACGCGAACGCGCGACACGTTTTTACAGTGGCATTCGCGGAGCCACGAGAAAGAGAAACGAATAATGCCGGGGGAAGGAAACCGAGCGACCGCCATTGGACCCATTTTGTTTGATGCGGATTCATAACGGCCAGACGCGAGCTGCATTATTCAAGAAGCACCCCTGACCTTATAACGTACCTAGACTTTAATAATAGCCACGCTACTTTCGACTATCGGGGCTCTAATACTCTGGACGAGTTGTCTTTGGAATATTGAACGTCCCCTCTGCAACTGTTGCTGCTGCCCAGCGACGTGTCTAGACACTTTGGCACCCTGGACCAACCGGGACCCACGAGAGGAATTTTACAAAATTTAATTTGGGGGTTGTTTACTCGATAAAATGTGAATGCAGGTCTTTGTACAATATGGACAGGGAATTTTCACGGAAAAATATGTCAAAAAGGAAACTTCGTTTACAAGAAAATCAACCAATTTTTAGGTTCATTTATCTCGAGTATTTTATTTGTTAATTACAGCAAGAGTTTGCTATTTTAAATAATTGTCAAACTCGAAAACATAAAAGTTCATTATTAGAAAGAGAAGAATCACAAATTTGAACCGTAATAAACTGAGATTTCACGGATATTTCAATCCATCCGTGATCCTTTTTTAATACCGTCGCAATCTCGATTTAAAACCGAAATTACACTTTCCATTCCAGTAAACTTCACCCGCCATTATCCGGTTTGCTCGGGAGCAACGTAACAAGAACGATAAATGAGCCTTAATGTATTCCAAGGGGAGCACTAAATGCTAAGGCGCGAAACTTGCAGTTTGCATTTCGACTTTTTCATACCGCGGCTTGTTCATTACGCTCGCGGACGACACCATGGGAGAAACTTTACATAGAACAATATTGTCTCAAGGAACGTAAACAGCTATTTCTTGTTACGCTTTCGTGCGTTAGAGGGACTTCCACCGTAGTACAGCATAGATTGCATCGCGTGACTATTCTATTTATCACTAAAAACTGTAGCCAAAATAAAAATGGAGAAATAGATACCACAATTTCGTGTCTTTATTCCTTGGAACGGACACGGACACGGACACGGACACGGACACGGACGTCGCGGGTTCTTTGTCCAGCGGACGCCATAAGCATTCAAAATTTCCTGCCGGAAAACAGACTCTTTTGTTTCTGTGAACCGATTGTCCCTCGAAGCAGAAGGACCTGTAATTTCGGATTCAAAGCGGTTCGGCGGGGAACCGTGGCCCGTGGTACGCGAAGTGTAATTGCGGTTCCATGACAGTCGGGCCAATTTTCGTGATGAAGAGCCAGGTCGAAAACTCACGGTAACGAGGCTCATTATTTATACTTCCTGCCTTTGTTTCCCTTAAATTTGCCAACCCTGCCCCGGCTACGGCATCAACTTGGCGCCTTCGTTCCTGTTCGTCGAAACATCGTTTCCAGCATCGCACTGATACGCGTTCTGATCGCAATTAGTCGCGAAATTTTCGAACTCGCGTCGCATGTTTTGAATTTCTCGCTCAGAGTTGCGAAGCCTCGCTGGTAATTAGTTTCCTCACAACTACGGTATCGTTCGAAACGACAATAGTAACCTGATTCGGTGGCTAAACTTCTTTTTTTCTCATCAAAATTGATAATTTCGTGGTCATAACACTTCGTTCGTTCGATTTGATTAAATTTTTTTTTAATCGAGTAATTGAGTCCTTTTAGATTGTATTGTATTTTTAACTAGTTTTATGCTTTGAAAATATGAATAAAATTTACGAATCGTAAATTATAATTATAATAAAAAAATATTAAAACTGAATAGTGTTAGTGGAATTATTAATATCCTTTTCATCATTTTTATATCTACAAATAATTTGACTAATAATAAAGGGATATAATTTATCATTTATTCAACTATGACAATAACTATTATTCATACCTAGACAATTGTGATTATACACCCACCAATTAAAAAATTCAAATGCAATTACTTGAAGTTATAAAATAATCTAAAATTCCCATAAATGTAAAATTTCAAAACAGAAACTGAATTTCGTGAATACACGTGGCCAATAATCAATAATTTTCATTAACAATCCGATGGTTAAACATTAAAAACACAATTTAATTTGCCTAGTTTGAGTGTTGTAAATGTACTCAGCAAAATTATTATTTTATTCAACGTTCGAAACGTTTTGTTAATTTTCATGACTTTGCCCAACATTATGCTAATATTCTTAACTGTCGCGCAGTTGCGAGTAGGTACTGAAAATAGCTTGTTCATCTTCTTGTTGCTCCTCCATTACTTTGTTCAATCTCTGTGCATACAAAATCATCCCCAGCGTAGAAACTCAAAGGTTTATGTAAGAAAATTGCTCCGATAATTCGATCTACCGAGAAAAGTTAACGAGATGAAGCGACTAAGAGCATATTAGACGCTGGCAACGTAAGTTTCTATATGCAGACCACCGTGTATTGATTTTTCGAATAGCAACAGTCTTAAAGCAGTCCTCCCTGGAAAGGGAAAATATTTTTCAACAAAGATTCACGTAAAACCTTGATTTGCATCTTTTGTATATTGGAAGAATATTAAAGTTCTTTTTCTGTTTCAAAACTCGATAAATTATTCAAAACGATTTTTATTTTTTAATTCACTCGATAAAAGAGTATCTCTAATATCGAATTATTGGATCCAATTTTTAGTTACGAGTTTATCTCATTGAAAGAAAGAATTTACCGTGTTTTTTTGGGAAAATTATTCTCTCCTCGATAAATTATACAAATCGATTCTTATTTTTCGATAAAAGAGCCTCTCTAATATCGAATTATTGGTTACAAGTTTATCTCATTGAAAGAAAGAATTTTCCGTGTTTCTTTGGGAAAATAATTTTCTCTAGTTTCAAACCTCGATAAATTATACAAAACAATTCCTATTTTTCGATAAAAGAACCTCTGTAATATCGAATTATTAGATCCAATTTTTAGTTACGAGTTTATCTCATTGAAAGAAAGAATTTACCATGTTTCTTTGGGAAAATTATTCTCTCCTCGATAAATTATACAAAACTATTCTTATTTTTCGATAAAAGAGCTTCTCTAATATCGAATTATTAGATCCAATTTTTAGTTACGAGTTTATCTCATTGAAAGAAAGAATTTACCGTGTTTCTTTGGGAAAATTATTCTCTTCTCGATAAATTATAGAAAACAATTCTTATTTTTCGATAAAAGAGTCTCTCTAATATCGAATTATTAGATCCAATTTTTAATTACGAGTTTATCTCATTGAAAGAAAGAATTTACCGTGTTTCTTTGGGAAAATTATTCTCTTCTCGATAAATTATAGAAAACAATTCTTATTTTTCGATAAAAGAACCTCTCTAATATCGAATTATTAGATC